TGGCTGGCGAAGTAGGCCAGGGTCCTGTTTCCTTAGAAACTACAAAGTTAAGACAGATGTGGAATGTCGAGTCCAGAAACCCTTCATCTGAAGCTCTGCACCAGGGTTGGAACTCCAGGCTGCTTCTTAGTGTTAGCGTAACTTAGATTCTTAGGCATGAGGGGATATTTCATTCTTTAAATGCTAGAATTTCAGACAGAAGAGTTTTGGGTAGTTTATGATTTTCGAGAACAACTGTCAATTGTAATTCTTAGTTTTTGCTTTTTATAGATATAAGTTCTGAGAAACCTGGGCCACCTAAAGTCCAGGCCTGAAAGGAATGTTGATATGGCATTGCCACTCAGATTTGGACCTTCCAAGTTATATGCCAAAATATACAGAGTAATTTTGTATCATAGTGATCTGTTCATCGATGGTTCTATCAGACCCTCTTTCAACTTTATTGAAAGCAAGAAGAAACCACCCAGCTTGCATGAGGATGTCTACCTACCCTGTAGACACCATTTGTTTTCTCAGATCTATACCAATATTCCAAACATCCCTTTATTGGCACTCCCTATGTTTTCACACTTGGGGATGAGGCACCACTGTAAAATTTGGGACAGGTGAGGAGTCCAGCTTGCTTTTGTAAAGCAAGAGGAGGGTGAATGTGGAAAGGGGCACTGGAAAGTCACTTTCTTAGGAAAGAGCATAGGTGGAAATTGTGGGTCTGGGGGGCAGTCCCTAAAAGCCCTCCATGCCTGGCTGTAATTCGGGTGACCACTGTGCTGCAGGGGGCCTCCTAGCAGCCACTTTGCAGCATGCTGTGGGTGGCAGAAAGATTGGAAATGCTATTTGGTCAGGGCTGTCCATTAAGTGGCACTCTGTTGAGAGAACAGCGTATGTGAGGGCTAAAGCAGTCACAGTTTGCATTGTATCAAGAATAAATAATAAGAACGATGAATTCCATTGAGGAAATGCCTTTTCCATTTTTGTGTTCAACTGGTTTTCTCATGAGTAATGCACTAGAAAACCTTGCTTTTGTTTCTTGTTCATGGTTTTTTCTCCCCTGTCCTATTTCCCTTGAAGGAAACAAGTATCATTGATTTTTCTTCTCCTCTTTTCTCTTCCCCTTTTTTCTACTTTCTAACTAAAAGTCAGAGGCTAGTCATAAAGTCTAATGGATGCTTCCAGAGGCTTGTTGACTCAGCTAAAATCTTTCTGGTCTTATGGTCCAAAATCTTTATGGTCTCTTGTCCTCAGTACTACATGTGAATGATGTTTTAAAATATACACATATATTTTTTAACTTAAAATTTCAATTATGAGTTTCACAATACAATCACAAAATACACTTCACAGTCATGTCTCCTTCTACCCCTTGAAATAAAATTTGTAGCCTAAATTCTAGGACAATTGCTTCTCTGAATTCCCTTAGTCAGAGAGACCGACCTATAGTGAAGTGTTACATCTTGAGTTGTCAGAAACTAAATGAAAGTGAGTACAAAAATTCAAAATACCATATTTATGAGAATTTTTATTTTACTTTGGATATAACTTAAGAAGTGGGTGACCTGCTCAAGTAGTACAGTATGTTCATTTCGCTGACCTGTAGCTCATAACTCTGCTGTATCTGGTCCTTCTCTTTCAGGTTTCACTTCCAGGGACCCTGTGGTACGACTCTTCCTGAAGCCCTTGCCCGTCATGAAAATGAAACTGTTTCCGAAGTGTCCTAGGAAGGAGAAATTATGGTATATCTAAGAACTAGACCACAAACAGGAGAAATGGTCTTGCGGGTAGTGAGTGAAACATTGGGCGATCTAAAAATATCCTGATTCCCTCGCTGGACTCCAAGCTGTTGGTAACTGGTGGGGACTAAGCAGTAGCAAGAGCAAATGCATTTAGAAATCAGAGAACTGCGAAGTGAATTCCTGTTATCTGGTGTGAACTGCAACATAAGATACCTTTGATGCAGTTGGTTTGGTTATTGGGTGAGAACAGATTTTGCAATTAAATTGTCTAAAAGATATAATTATCCCGATTCTATTTTTGCTATTTGGGCAAAGATAGAAATAAAGGGTTAAAACCCTGCTATTCAATTCTGATTTCTGAACAAGTTTTAGTGGCAAATAAAGTCACTCTCTACGGTAGGTGATTTATTGTATAAAGATGTTACCCCAGGAGATGTCTCTGTTGGGGTTTTTTCTTTCAGTGTTTACCTTGTTTGGCTGCCTTACCTCAGAGAACACGGGATAGCTGACCGCAGGAACTCAACACGAGGGAGCAAGAGGAAAGTACTGACAAGGGGAAAAATCAGGATGAATAAGAAGAATGATGCAAATATATGGACCCCAAGAATAAACACAGCTGCCTAACATTTCGCTGTGGCCATCTCAGCAGCCAGGAGGGAAAGGAAGGTGATGATTGGCTGCTTCTACCATAAATACAGATGCACGCAGTCCCTGTGGGGTTTTCCAGCCGTTCGCACACATGGAATTCTGAGAGGGGAGTTTTTCCCAGGGGACTTTAAAAAATGATAGGCCCTTACTCTTAATACCTTGGAGTAAGTGGTAAGAATACAGCTCTTTCCTTAAGCCCCGCCAGCTAATTCAGCACTTGGGGCCCTTCGAAGGGCTGCTACCCAGCAAGCGTGGCAGACTTCGCTGGGAGGAGTGGCCGTTACCAGCAGCATGTGCCGGTCAGTCCCTCGGGTCAGGTGGGCTCCGGGTGATCACGTACCTGGGCCACGTCACCTGAACCGCTTGCAAAATTGCATTGAATGTTACACTCTTGGCTTTTGTAGAAATAGGCAGCAAGACACTGCCATATAAAACTTTGTATAGCATTTTCAAGTCATAACTTTTAATAAATTCCAAAGGTCCTTTGTGTGGGGAAGGGGGATATTTGTAGCCCACAAAGAAATGATTAGCCAGCACCCGGAGGGCCCGATTCACATTCTGTTTGGGTGGGTCAAGGGATGTACACTGAGGGCACTGCTAAGACCTGTAATTAAGTTCTCTAATACATATAATGCAGTTTCTGTACATAAAATACCATCATGTACTTTTAATAGGTTTGTTGCTAGGCTGTTCCCAGTTAACTCCATATAATTTCCTTGTGTTAGCACACTGTCTCAGGGAGTCTGGTTATATTTTTGATTTGTAATTTCTATCTGACCAAAGCTAGGAGGTTTCTGAACTGTTCTTTGCAACTTCTCTCCTACTGGACCTTTGGTTCCAGCAGCCTTTTTTCTTGGGTCTTGTCATTTTTGTTCATATTTCGTTTTGTCATTTTTTAATTGGGAATTGCTTCTAAATCAGAAAAGAAGTGCACATACAAAATATATGTGAGATAGAATTATTCAATTCAACTTAGCATTTATTAAACATATAATAGACATTAATAGACATTAGAAGTAGACATATAATATGCCATATAATAGACATTAGAAATAAAATGGTGGCCGGGCGCAGTGGCTCACGCCTGTAATCCGAGCTCTCTGGGAGGCCGAGGCGGGCGGATTGTTTGCGCTCAGGAGTTCAAGACCAGCCTGAGTAAGAGCGAGACCCTGTCTCTACTAAAAATACAAAAATTAGCCGGGCATGGTGGTGCATGCCTGTAGTCCCAGCTACTCGGGAGGCTGAAGCAGGAGGATCGCTTGAGCCCAGGAGTTTGAGGTTGCTGTGAGCTAGGCTGACGCCACAGCACTCTAGCCAGGGCAACACAGTGAGACTCTGTCTCAAAAAAAAAAAAAAAAAAAGGGTTAGCAAGACCTGGACCTTGCCCACAAGGAGTTCACAGAATGGAACAACTGTCACGTAAACTATTATACAATGTGAAACCTACAAGAATAGAATTTTGTGGAAGGCTCAGAGAAAAGTGCAATTAGAGATGGGCAGAGTGCGAATGGGGTGGCTATTAAGGTGCATGAACTCAGGCTCGGTGGGAGTTTTCGAAGTATAAATAGTTCTGCATGGGGGAGTGCCCATTAGTAGAGGGGACAGCGCGTACAAATGTATGGCAAATGTGAAACAGCTTGATTTGTTCAAAGAATGATGAATGGTTTAGTGTTGTATAATGGGTGGGAGGAGATAAACACGGCGATCACCAAGGGACATGTATGCCAAGAAACAATATATTTGGAGGAAAAGTGTGTATATGCCACAAAACTAGTGTGCATTCACTAAGTAACGGTGAAGTCATTCTTCAACGGATATTTATTCGGCATCTGCCAAGGGCCAGCCGCTGTTCCGGGTCGTGGGGTTGCAGGCGGGACCCAGACCAGGCCCTACTCACGCAGGGCGTACCTCTACCGGGGAGCCAGTCGCCCGGCACAGGTCTGGTGCGGGACTGACTTAAGCCCGGGCTCGTGGACCCGCCTGGGTAGGGCCGCAGGGCTGAGGGCAACAGAGTCGTTCCCCCAAAGCACTTTTTTTCCCGTGAAAGCCCACCGCCTCGTGGAGCGCCAGCGAACGCACCCGAATGTACAATAACCGACGAATTGGAGAGACCACGCCGAACCCCGTGCCGAAAAAGGCGGCGACACAGCGACTGGGGCCGCGGTGTCCCGGTTCTGGACAGGGGACAGCATGACCCGCGCCAGCCCTGTCTCGCCAACCCACCCGAGGAGGGTGGCACTACGGGTCTTCCCTGCCGGAAACCAAGTCCTTCGCTAGCCGCGCCCGCAGGCGGAGCGTTTCTGCGGAACCTCCCGCCCGAGGTCCCGCGAGCCGGGGGGGAGGACACACGCCCACAGGCCTCAGACCACGCCCTTTCTTCTCTCCGCGCATGCGCCCCCGCCGGTAGTGGGGCCTCCGAACCTGCAGGGGGCGATAAAAGCCCCCGTCGTTCGCTCTTTAACGTCGCACTCCGCTTGCGGCTGTTTCCGGGTCAGAAGTCAGACGGTCCAGCGCTGCGTGGGCCATGGTGCAGCTCCGGCCGCGCGCGTCCCGCACCCCGGCGTCGGCGGAGGCGATGGTGGACGAGGGTCAGCCGGCCTCGGAGGAGGAGGCGGAGCACGGCTTGTTGCTCGGGCAGCCCAGCAGCGGCGCAGCTGCCGAGCCGCTGGAGGAAGACGACGAAGGGGACGATGAGTTTGACGACGAGGCCCCGGAGGAGCTGACTTTCGCCAGCGCCCAGGCGAAGGCGAGAGAAGAGGAGCGGCGAGTGCGGGAGACCGTGCGCAGGTTTGGAACCCGCGCCAGGCGGAAATAACTCATTCCCGTCCCGCTTGTCCCCTCCTGCTCTGACTTGTCACCCTTTCTCCCAGGGATAAAACGCTCCTGAAGGAGAAGAGAAAGCGACGCGAGGAGCTGTTTATCGAACAAAAGGTTAGAGGGTAGGGAGGCGTCTCATTTTTAAACCATCCCGGCCGGGGTAGAATTCCCGTGTTTCATGCAATTTGGGCTGCTAGGATACTGGAGTTGGGGAAAAGACACAAAGATTCTTTCTGACAACAGTGAAAAGAAAGATGCTCGTGCCTTTTGCTGACATAACACTCAGCTGGTCACGACACCTTAGTCATTTAAAAGAGATCGTTTCTTTATCTGTGAGAATTAAGTGGTGATTTGCAAACTAAGGGCTGTACAGAGTATGATTGCTTTGCTGTTCGTTGTCTGGCACTTACCACATAAAAATAACTCCACATGGGTACGCTTAACTGCTTTCAATTTATAACAGTGACCTGAGGGTTGGGATACCGTGGGGCACCCCTTCCAATTTTCACGAAGTCTTCCAGAGAATGTGGAATAGGTTCTGAGTTTTTGGACCCAGTCTTCCCACCGCTTAGAGATAGTGGGGGTGGTTTTCAGCCTAATTCATTTATTTGCCTAGATGTAGAGCTGTCCTTGAAATAGGTATCTTCAGAAGCAACACTGGACATGTTGTTATGTACATCACCTCTTATTTATTTTTAAATGTCTTTATTTCAAAAGAAAAGAAAACTCCTTCCAGATACTATTCTAGAGAAGTTAACTACAGCTTCACAGACTGAGTAAGTAATGGATCTTCTTGTATTACTTCCTTATATACACCCATCTTTAAACTACATACTGGGACATTTGTTTGAATCCATATAATTGAAGGAATGGTAGAGCCTAAGTTAAAAAGCTGCACAGTGGTATTTTAACTTGGTGGGAAAGATAGAGGTAATACTCCACTTTTTATTCTTTTGCCATTTATCTTTGTAACTCTAGTCTCTGACTTCCTGATCCCAGTGTGTTCATTTAATAAATTTTCAGTGTCTGTCATTGTACTAGGGGCAGGGTTGATGGTGCTGAATAAGTGTTTTGAAATTTATCATTTAGTGGGGTAGTGGACACTTACCCACAGGCTCCTAAAACTCACCTTGTCTCATACTTGCCTTACCTGCCACCAACCTGTCCTTCCTCTTCGGTCCCTGTTTCATTTAGCAGCTTTGGTGTTTTTTATGGTTTAAAGCCAAAAGCTATCATTGTCCCATGAAATCAGTCAAACTCTACTAAATTTACCCTTCTCCATATTTGTATTTTTTCCTATCCTCCTTTTCTCCCCTTGATGCTTTACGTTCATAAGTTAAGCTCCCTTTTACCTAGGCCAGTGGTTCCAAATTTTCAGTAAAAGAACTTTCCCAAAGAGTTATTCAGATCCTGAATACATTAAACGTACAAGCAGATCTATTTGGTGGCAGATTCCCTCTTTAACCTCTCAAAACCAAGCTCAAATGTCATGTCTACCTTCTTAATCGGTTTTCTCCTTCCATCACTTCCTCCTTCGTTTTGAACTCCCGGCCCCAAGCAATCCTCCCACCTCAGCCTCTCAAAGCGCTGGGATTACTGGTGTGAACCACCATACCAGACTTCCTCCTTTGTGCAGCCTTTCTGCTGTGCAAGTGCTTTTGTAGTGTACTCTGTATTCTTATACCACATTTTGTCAATTTGCATTTGTTTCTATTAGACCACAGACTCCTTGAGGCTGGTCCTTGTCTCCATACTGTTGAATCAATCCTTTGTGATTTCCTCAAATAATATGAGACCTTTCACTTCATATTCTGAATATCGTATTATACAACTTCTTAAGTCTTTCACTTAACAGTAACTCTATTACCCATAGCATTCTGCTCCTTTGAAGCCTCCTAATGCACTTTGAGATTTAAAATTGTGAAGATATTCTAATCCTAGTAATACTAGCTTATTGATTGGGAGTTGGTGGAAGTGCACTGGGGAGTGACTTTTGCTTTCCAAAAGTGATAAAGGATCCTAAGTAAAAATTGAGGATGGTGATAATGAAAGAGGGGTATTTTATTTGTAAACCTAGATGAAATAGTGTGACATGTTTTGAGTAACCTTTGTTATCTGCCATTCCACTCAGTGGTTTTTTTCTGTTTTTCCCTTAGTGTAAAGAAATCACCGGGAAAGTTGAAAGAAGGTATGAACTATCCTAATTTAAGTAACTTCTCATGTAAATGTCATGTGCAGTTGCACACATTTTCAGTCCAATATGATTGGCTTTTAGAGAGCATGGGCATGGGCCTGGCCAAGGTTAGCTGGAGCCTGTTCCTTGTATTTCTTGCCAGTAAAAACTGTATCCATATTGATGTGTAGTGGATATGTAAAGTGAACTCCAGTAAATGTTCCTGATTTATTTTTACATAAATGCTAATTAGAAAGTGTAACTTAATTTTTTAGTTAATTTGCAAAAGAAAAATGAAGAGTGTGAAAAAGGAAGTGGTTCCAAGAAAGTTAAAGTGCAAAAAGTACAGTCAATCAGGTAATGAGCCTTTTTTTTTTCATGTGGGATGGGGAAAATAATTAGTAGCAACTTCAGATTAGATCGTCTGTGGATAAATCAATTTTGATATTAAAAAATAAGGATCAGTTGAACAATTTGTCCTTCCAGGTCCTATGGGTCAGGTTCAAATTTTATTTTCTTGTGGGTTTATTTTTTGAGAAAATTTTCATTTCACCTGTCCCAATGGATAGATGTTTATTTCAAGACACACTACAGCCTGTTGTCAGCGCTTCAGACCTACTACCCATTCACTTCTTGAAGCAGCGCGATTTGTTCTTGATGGCTCCTGAATGTTCCTTTTGTCACCAACCATTAACAGTGGAGGGTACGCCAGTGCAAGATGGCTCTTCCTGGAAATGCATTCAATACAGTGGCCAGTCATCATGATCTTTCTTCAAAAGAGATCCAATATTTCCCTGAAAATGTGGCTTCATCTTCTATTCTTATGGTCTACAGAAGTCACAGAGAAAGCAGCTCCTGCTCTTCTTGGAACTTTGGCCCACATATGGTTGATATCTACAATTTCTGTCTCAAAGGAGGCAAACATTATTTTGAACTGCATCCAGTACAGCTTGGTGGTCCAGGTCATTACTTGCAAATTGGAGTCCTCAACATCAAATGTAAAATGTAAAGCAAAGTGCAAGACCATCAGAGGAGTTTGTTGTGATGTGTTGGGCTCATATTTGGCCCAGTTTATGTGGTGCAGTTGATTTGGAGGTGATGATTGGCAACGGTGGTGAATGCATTTCCAGGAATAGCTTTCAGTTCCCTTTCACTACATGTATTATAACAATTTCCTGTTAACTAATACGATGTTTGGACTTTTGGTTTTAGTATATTTTAGTACAAATATCCAGAGATATGTTCTTCAGTTGAATACATCAGAGAGAAAAATTGTTAAATTGATCTAAAAGTAAAAACATTTATTTGCTCTACTAAAATGTAAATGTTAGCCTATTTCTTATAAAATGGCCCTACAATTATCCATACATATACAAAATTAGAAATTGCATTTTTCACTATGAGACAATTGACAAAAATATTTTGAAAGTACATATGTATCATCCTCATTTATTTTGACCTTCTGTATTGATCGCCAGCCAGAATAAAAGCTACGTGGCTCTAAGGCTAAAAGACCAAGATCTGAGAGATTCAAGGCAACAAGCAGCGCAAGCCTTCATACACAATTCTTTATATGGTCCAGGAACCAACCGAACTACTGGTAATTTTCTTATTGACTATTTTTCTTGTTTTTTACTGTGAATAAAACAAAGAAATGATAAATAGTTCTCTTTTCTAGTTAATAAGTTCCTGTCTCTTGCAAACAAGAGGTTACCAGTGAAAAAGGCTGCAGCCCAGTTTTTGAATAATGCTTGGGGTAAGATCCAGCTTCATCTTCTTGTCTCTGATAGCTTTATTATGTTGAATAATGTTCTTTTGAAGGAGATAATTCATTATCATAATTTTTCCCCATATATTAGCTTATATATTAATATTTTAAAGTTGCTTCTGAAAAATAGGTCAGTGTATATACACATTTAATGTATAATAGACCTTGTTTTATTTATATTCGTATAGAGAATTATGAAAAAACATTCTGAATTATATGTTTCTTAGGCATTTTATCTTACTGTACAAAACTTCCTCTTCTAGGAACTCAGAAAAAACAAAATGCCAAGAAGTTTAAAAGACGGTGGATGATCAGAAGGATGAAAACTCCTAAGAAGTAAATTGAAGCTAAAGGAAAAATATGTATTTTGTATGTATAGAACTTAGTTATTCAGTTGAGAGGACTAATTTCTCTGAAAAATGCAATAAATCATTCATAAATCATTTTTAGAACCATAAAAATCTATTTGGGGTAAGTACTTGGCCACATTTCATCCTTCTGGAGTACAGTCATGCCTTGTAGTCTTTGAGGGTCCTGGAAGAAAAAGCAGTTTAAAGGGAATTGGTTTTCCTTTTTGTGCATTTAACTGAATACAAGCCATACCCACACCAGCAATAGCACCTCTTCTACTCCCATGACCCACTTCCCCCAGGACGGTGTGTGGCAGGAATGGCAGGGAGGAGGAGGGAGGAAGAATAGACATCAGGAAAAATCTCTAAACCGTTGCTCTCTCTCAGATGTTTTGGTGCTATTTTCACAGAATGTTGCTTTGTAATATTCCTCAGGGAATGAGAAAGAAGTAATTGTGAAAGAACGCAGAGTGTAAGTGTAGACTAAGTATGTGTTCTTAGAGAAGATTCAGTGCACAAAGTTGAGAAACACCTTTGCAAACCGAAGGATCAGGATAGTCTGTTGAACAGCTTTTTAAATTTTACTTGGCTGGGCGCAATGGCTCATGCGTGTAATCTTAGCACTTTGGGAGGCCAAGGCAGGAATGCTTGAGGCCAGGAGTTTGAGACCAACCTGGGCAACATAGGAATATCCCATCTCTACTAAAAAATTTAAAAATCTAGCCAGGCATGGTGGCACATACCTGTAGTCCCAACTAGTTGGGAGGCTGAGGCAGGAAGATTACTTGTAGCCCAGGAGTTTGAGGTTGAAGTGAGCTGCTGTACTCTAGCCCGGGCAACAGAGCCAAGACTCTGTTGCAAAATAAATTTATTTTACTTTTAACCACTCTGGGGGTTTGCTTGCCTGGCAAGTCTCGTGTGCCATACTGAGACTATGAAAATAGGGAAGGTAATTTCCTGCTGTCTTTCTGTGTCACACATAATATCAGGTTTGACCCTAATCCAAGGAGGCCAGTAAACTGAAGGTAGTCTTAAATTGTAGAACTCAGCTTAATAGTAGAAACCATTAATTTTAATTGCTCTAATTTCATATTAACCATAAGAAGTATACAAGTACCTAATATATAAACTCAACTGACACTCTAGTATCTGTAGAAGTAAATTTTTAATGGCTGGTTAATTATATCACTACATTTTTATTGCAATATAGTACTCATTTAAGCACTTAAAAATGGAAGGTGTACAAAGATTAAATTAAGACACGGTAAATTGACTAAATATTTGGTTTTTATATAAATAAAGGTCATAACCACACTGCTGACATGTAATACTGTTATAGTACAACAGTTAAACTTGTGAGTCTACAACAGAAGTCATCTGTAGTTAAACAGGAAACAAAGTTGAGAAAGACCATGTTAAAACAAAACTACTGGGACTAACAGGTTGGGATTGTAAGTAGCAACAAACATATTCACTCAGCTCCTGAGTATTTCAAGTTTTACAGTACACATTAAAAATGATTTCTCCCATAACACTATAAATTCAAACTGTCGGATGTTTATGCATTTTGCAAGTTACACTGATTGAATGCTTATATGGGAGCAGGGGTCGGAACGTCTCCCAATTTGAAGTTTACATCACCCACATGCTAACACAAACACAACTTGTTCCATTTCCTTCCCCTCTCTCCCCTCCACAAAGGCGGCAGGATTTTTTTGGTTTCTTTTAGGTAATTATTTTAAAGGATTTGTGATGATCAATTTGAACGTCTGAAATTCAGTAATATTTAACTCTTAGACAACTAAGAGGTTAAAGATGGAAAATAATTTCTCCTAACACTAAGTTAGAAAATCATTTGCATCATGCTGTAAACTAGGAAGCAATGTAAAGCGACAAAAACCTGTCCCCAGTACATAATTAAAAAAATCTAAATTTCAAATCAGCAGAGCTGGTCTACTTCCATGTTGACTATATGCCACAAATATAAGTGTGAGCTCTTGAAATGCATAGCTAATGTAGGTAGTCTTCCACTGTGGCAAATGCACAGGATCCAATTCCCGATCGAGCCATCAGTCCTAGACATTGTGTGGCCTGTCCCATTGCTAGGGCAAGTGGAGGTTGCTTTGGCAGATTGTGGGTTTCTGAGGAAAAATGATTAAAAAATGGAAATAGTAATTAGCAAGCAAGACATTTTAAAAAACATCTCAATCAGGAAAATAACTGTGTTATGTACAAAATTACCAATGCCTATACCACTCTTAACTACCTAACTAGCAATGGTCGTCTCTAAGCAAATCATCGATGCTTTGGACGTGCTACTCTGACAAGGTAGTATGAGTACTAGGTATTCAAACTGTAAGAAAAACTCTTGCAGAATTAGACTTTTAAAGTATCAGATACTTAAAAACTTTTATTTCCATATTAACTATTATGGGGGAAATATGTAACTTCTGATATTTGCAGTGAAGTGTAAGGAATATTTAGTATTTCTCTTCTACTTGACCAGAGTCAGCTGACATTAACTGAAAAAGGCACCAGGCTTTCATTACTAGTTTCCACTGATGGATTCTCCCACCTCTGTGGACAGAGTGCAGCTGAGGCTGCCTAGCCGTCTGCAAGGCACATTGGTGAAGGATACCAGGGTTGGTTGGGAGCAGGTGGTGACAGAGAACACAGCAAAGACACCCTGTAATTTTGGAGGTACAAAGATTGGTGAGAAAGTATGGTTTTAAAAAAGTGGTCTGTGGGTTAAAGATTATTAAAGTACTGACTGACTTTTAACACTTAAAAGCAAAAATCTTTCTAAAAATGTCTTGAAGGTTCATAGGGAAGTAACCTTGCTTAAAGGTAAGCATGAAGAGGATACATTATATTATAAATTTTGGGCAAAGGATGCATCTGGTTATAAGCATCTTTAAATTTTTTAGACATATGAAACTTAGAAGAATTATATATAATAACTATAAGCACTTTAATTGCTTAACCTTAATGCTTAACTTATAGTTAAGCACTATATATAGATGTATCTATATCACGTAGTACAGTATTTATAAATACACACATACCCATCCATAGCAATTTAATAATCTAGTCACTAATTTTGTAGGAATTATATACATTTAACATAGTAAGTTTAAGCAGTATTTATAGCGGAATCCACTTAACATAGCACAGTATGTAATGCATGTATTTTAGATAATCATCTTAAAGCAATATTTAACAAATTAATTCCCTTGAAGAACTCAAGAAATAAATTGTTACAAGAAAACTGGTCACTTTTCTTCAAAAATTCTTCTCAAGTCCAAGTATTACCTAGCAATTTGGTCTTAATGATTACCTATAGTGTAGTAATTTCAAAAAGATAATTATGAATTATAGTAAACCATAATTTTCCCTATAATGCCAGCATTATTACTAAGTTCCTTTATTTTTACCAATAAAGCTAAATGAATTTTGTAGAACCAAAGAAAATAGAACACATTAACCAAAGAAAATTCACATTATTTATTATATACAAATTCTAAATGTGAGAAAACACCACTAAGGACACTACTACTATTCTCAAACTCCAGTACTAGTCCTTAAAAAATAATAAACTAATTTTATAAGGGCAAAGAAACAGATTAAGGCTCAGATATGTATACTTTTCATTGCTTCTTTTACATTCCTGGCATAAGAGTCCTGGCCCTCATTACAAGTCTCCCTATCTGAATTACTCTTTACCCTTTGTGGCACTGCCCTCATCTTCCTAAAATAGTTTGACACATGCGGCTAAAAGCCCCAAAACTCAACAGGGCCAGACAGCACAGCACAGACTTCTAAACTAGACTGGAGTCCCATTTTACCTGGGAATTAGATTCTAAAGTCAAATCAAAAATGACTCATATGTAAATTACCTTTGAACAGTCAACCCTATCAAGTTTATATAGAAATGCACAAAATGTACAGTTGCAGAATTCCTATAAGAAGTATCTGTTCAGTGCATAATTACTATAATCACTATAGTGAGTTGCTCATAGGAACAGAACCATCAGGGGAACAGCAAATTAGAGTTTCTCACTTGCTCACACCTGGCTAGGCCTCACCTTCTAAACTGCTTTTCTCTTCCTCACCTGTTCTTTTTATTGGGTGAAGGCATGTAGTTGGATTTGGCTAACTCAAATGCAAATATAATTTGGTTCCAAAGGTTGGTGCTGACAGCGTGGGGGACAACACAAGTTACCTGGAAGCCCTTTCTGCCTGCATCATGGCATAGTGGGAGCTGTGACATGGGTGCCCTGTGCCCACTGAACCACCTCAAGCAAAAAGGAGGGGAACATGGTAGCAAGGGGCACCAGCTAGGACTCCTGACCTCTACTGGGTCACATTCAGTCTTCTCAGATATTCACTCTTTCACTCCCTTGGTTCCATTCTCATTATACTTGCTCCATGAAAACTTCTATTCCCTGACCTCTTCATTTTTTTCAAGCTTACCCTGTTCCCTTCTAGCCTCTCTTGTGAGCTAATTATTAGACTATGTTTTCATTAACATTCCCAAATCCCTTCTATAGCAGCCAAACTAGAAACCCAGTTCTGATCAATCTACTACACAAAATGTATTCAACTAGGCAGAACAGTTCTGTACCACCATAAATTTATACTTTTGTTTCTCCATTGGACTTTCAATGTCACAGGTTAGCCCCTTTACTCATCCGCTGTTCAACTATATTTCAGTCCCTTCACTGGCTCTAATCCAAATTCTTACCACGGTGCAACTTTCACAACTCTCAGCCCTTGATGATTATTTACTTAGAAAAACAAGAGGCCCTCAGGCTTGAATCCTCAATTGCCCATCTTCTCACCCATGCCCACATCCTCCTCTCCAGTATCTGAGGAAGAGATACGGTCTATGAGAATTTGGGAGAATGCCACTCCCTAATCCTCAGCCTGGAAATGAGTGGCAGAAAACACCTTTCCCTAAAGAGGGCTACAGAGGGTGTCTTTGGTAAGGTAGTATTTTGAATTTAGACACAAGGACCACCAAAATACCTCATTCTAAATAAGCAGCAGACATTTCATGGCTACCAGAAATGCTTGCATACATGTACATAAAACCTCTATTTCTCAAACATTACAAGATACACCCCTAATCTACTGTTTTTATTCCGTTTGAATCCATGTAATCTAGAATCTACATCTAAAAATGTAGAAAATATTCCCCTTATGATTTCACCAAAATATAAATGCTAGCACAAATACTCTCTTCTCAAATGTTCAGAGATTCTAGTTAAGTTGTGCTCTTTGGCTTTACTTACCTAATATTGCACTGTTAAGAGCTGAGCACACAGGTTCTCTCTGAATTGGGTCAAGCTGATTTCCAACTGGGCTGTTCCAAGGATCTGAATATGCTAGTAAACTGAATGCATCCTGTTGAAAACATACCAATTTAGTTTTAGTTCATGTAGTTCAACTACTATGCTCACAGTGGTTCCAAGTGGAAAGACAGGTAAAATACAGCTTTAAGGTACTAGACTATTATAACCTTTAAACCCATTTACCCCATGCCTGGATGCTTTGTATTTTTGAACAATTAAATTATGCAGCAAAGCCCAACTTGCTTTCATTTTTCTTGTGAGTAGCCATTCTCATTTATCTCCTCCCATCTCTACAACACAAACTAAACAGAAGAAAATAAAACTAATTCCAAAGGAACGGGCTAATACTGGTTAAGGTAGAGAAGAAGGTAAAACACTCAGACACTTTACAATTTATTACCACTAACATGAATTTGACATTCAAAGGATAAGGCCCACCTACATTTCTTTTGTTTAATGGACGTGGCAACTGGACGCATCTCATTGGATGACATCTTCTCAAACTCAAATTATGAAAAAATAAAATGAAACTGGCTCCCCTGCAGGACCTCTTTTATACATTTACTATTTCCAACCTATCTCCTCAAGCCAACCTTAAGATAACTGACACGTAGTCTTTTCAAAGAACTACTCTGTTTTTGCCTTCTTTCTATGGGAGGAGCATACTATGGTGGTTTCAGATACTGGCTTCCAGTCCAAGCACCACCAACTAACTAGTTGCGTGGCCTTTTGGCAAGTAACGATCTAAGTGCCTGTTTCATCACTTTTGCATAATGTGGATTATAAATGGTCCTATTTCACATAGTTGTATAGGGACTAAATGAACAATATCAGTTCATTCTAACTTTTCAAGAAATGATGTCTTATTATGCCAAAAGTCAATACACCCTAAATCGAGAGTAATATTATACATATATATAAATCATATATGGATACAAGATACCCTTAACAATTCAGAAAGCAGACATGGAGAGATGCTCCAGAAACCGTAAATCTGTGAAATCAGGGATGTGTCACTTTCAAAATGCTGACTACTGAAATTCCTAAAGAGCACAATCTCCTAGGTTTGTTGCTCAAGCAATCACCATTCCTCTAGCCATCTTACTAGTGTTATGAAAGCAGAGGTGGGGGAGAGGCTTCCTGGTCAACTGTACTCTTGCCCTTTCTTGTCCACATGGGCCTCTATATTGTGGATTTAGAAAAGAATAACCCACGAAGAAAAACTAAAGTCAGTCTGAGGCTACAAGATAGGAAATACATGTGCCTCTAAGCGGATGTGCATGGCGCCTCCACTGTCTTACATTGCTAAATATTTCATTCAGGTTAGTCTTCTGCCTTAGTTATAATAAAAGTTCTTTGAAGATAAAAATCATTTACCATACAATTTTGAATCCCCTGCAGCTTCTCATAGGTGTTGTTACAGGGAAGACAGTTCATATGTCTGCTGATATTAAGACCTGCTTCTTCCAGTAACTGAAGATGTTTTATGCATCCCACAAAGCTACTTGGTTCTATTTCCTGCCCCCAGCCCCCAATCCAAACTTACCATGGAATATGATATCCTGTACCCTGTAAAGCTAACTCTAATCAATCACAATACTTCTAAACACTGAGCTTTGCTCAAGACTTAATTCATCCCACAAGCATCTAATGAGGTACCCTTCCCATAGTACAGATAAATTTAAAAAGATACACTGAAGAATTTGTCCAAGGAATAATTGGTCCATAAAAACTTCAAGTACAAAATTATCTTCAGGGGTCTGTATCCTGACATGCCACCAAAAAGGTGAAATGTGGCAGTCCCAAATCTCAAATTAAGACTACACCCTCTACTATTTAAAACAAAACTCAGAAAAACGATAATACTAATACTGGTAGTAATTTATTCTGCATAAATATTGTGTGAGGCATGTTTCAAGCACTAACATGGATCATCTCATTTAATCCTTACAATAACCTGAGGTTGACATCATTATGCCCATCTTACAGAAAAGCAAACTGGCAGTGAGGTTAAGATCACACTGCTACTAATGTACTTCTTTTAATAAGATGCAGATTCTTTTTCATTACCAATCTAAATATTAAGAAGAAAAAAGTCTAAAATTTTGCTCTCGCATTTTTTTTTTAGTACAATTTAACCAATGTTTATTGAACACTGAGGATACAGACAGTGATGACCAGGACCTAGTCACTGCTTCAAGGAACTCACAGTCTCATGGGGAAGGCAGACAAGTAAATAAAGTAACATATAGTATATTACCAGTGACTTAATAGAAAAAGGTTCAAGGTACATGCAAACTGAAGCTGAGAGAGGACAAAAAGCATGGTTGGAAATATGGGAAAGGGAATAGATCCTAAAATGCCCCAAAACACACCGAAAAGCTTGAAATTCTTCCAATAAGGAAATGGGTTTTAAATAGCAATATGGATTAGACTTGATTTAAGAAGGATCATACAGTGACACTATAAAACATGGCTTGGAAGGAGAGTGACGCTGTAAGCAAGAAAACCAATACAACCTTTAAAAAAATGGTTTACAACATCAAGCTCCCCATAGTAAACATCTAGAACTCTATCCTTTCTATATGAAGGAACATAAATGAAATCAGCAAAGCAACATTAAAGTTTTAAACCCTACTGTAAAACTTAATTGATGGTGATAACCAAAGAAATGCTAATAAGCAATTTTATGACACTATGTATGTTACACCCACTCAAGATTAAAGTAGTAGTGCCCCTGGAACATTCTTTTATTACTGCTAGTAAGCTGGTAGAAGGGTTCTGAAAAGCAATATAGCAATATGTAGCAAAAGCCACAATAATGTTCATGTTCTCTGACTCAATAATTCTATTTTGAGGACTTTATCTCAGTGGAATAATTTTAAGGAAGAAAGAGATACATGTATAAAGGTGTCACTAAAGCATCTGACATAAAAGCAAACAGAAAAATCCAACAACGGAGCAATATTTAAATAAACTTAAACTGGTACAGCAACACAACAGAATATCATGTAGCCATTTAAAAATAATTGTAAATAATGCATAGAAACTGGGAGGAAATAAATTTGTATGACAAAAGTAACAAAATAGTGTCACTACAGTTATTAATTAGGTAACACACATGGGAGTTGAGGCACGAAAGTAAAAATACCTGTGAAATATTGTGGCATTATGAGTTTGGTTCTTTTTTTTATTTTAAAGAAAAAAACATGGCCAGGTAGAGTGGCTCACACCTGTAATCCCAGCACTCTGGGAGGCCGAGGCAGAAGAATCGCTTGAGCTCAGGAGTTCAAGACCAGGCTGAACAAGAGTGAGACCCTGTCCCTACCAAAAATAGAAAAATTAGCCAGGCATGGTGGCGCATGCCTGTAGTCCCAGCTGCTCAGGAGGCTGAGGCAAGAGGATTGCCCAGGAGTTTGAGATTGCAATGAGCTATGATGACACCACTGCATTCTACCCAGGGTGACAGAGTGAGACCCTGTCTCAAAAAAAAAAATAAAGAAAAAAAAAGGGAGAGAAGAGGAAAAAACATTACCTCAGTGGAAATAATTTGAGGGAAATGTGCCATCATTTAGGCAGCATTCTCAAACTGTACTCATAGTTGGCTTAAAATCTGGAGTGGTTTCTAAAACAGGGTGAATCTAAATGGTTCTATTTCTGATTCAGTTACTAGATTAAAAGCTCCCTGCAGGGTGAGGCTGCTCACTCACACTAGACTCTCCCAGAGTGCCCACGACGATGCCTCAGCACACTTGCAGAAGTTCAACATACAGCTAACAAACCAATTCAGGCAGCTCTTTTGGGAGCCACTGAAAGATATAGGTAGGTAAGGAACACAAAGACAACAGGAAAAGAAGAAAGGAAGACTGAAAAAAGAAAAAAGGTCAAGAGAAACGGTGGGCCACCCATTTTCACCACAGGTGGGCCACTCACTCCCTGCAGTATGCCTGCTGTTCCACAGCTAAGGAAAGGCAAAACATACATGCACCTTCCGGCAAAGCAACTGAGGTAAATCTCACTTTCGACTTTAATCCAGTCGTTCTCTATGTAGGTATACATGGCTCAGAAGCTGATGTAAATCCAAAAACGTTAATAGATTTTAAAAAAAAACCCTACAATCACATGTGATCTGAAGTGAAGAATAAAGAGAAGAAGAATTTCTAAACCTCAACTACAGCAAAAAAGGTTTTCTCTTCACGTTGCCAGCCTTGTTCTTTGGCTATATATAAGGTGGATCAGTTACTCATCTTATCCCTGTCAGGCAAGATAAGCTTGGGAAGAGAGAGGAAAGCTACTCAGAATATCAGGGAAGTCTCTGAAGGCAGCTGGAATTTGCTTAGAAGTCAGAGTACAAAATCAAAGCCATCTACATTCTTTAGATGAAGACAGATTACATCTTCATATAATTCAGTGTATAATCAAGGAATAGCTTTGAGAATTAGCCATGTAATGCCATTTTCTGAGCTTCATGCAAACCAGAATCCAAGACACAGTAAGCTGACGGAGTATAATCTCAAATTTTCAAAGTTACCACATAAATCACACATTTCTTCATCCTGCTCAATTAGCATAAAGTTGTAACAAGAAAACCAAGTCAGATCACCTAGGGTAAAAAAGTCTTAAGGATTCTTACAAACATTTCATATTCCCAAATATCCCCTAAAACAATTCTCAAAGTATGATCCGGGGACACCTAGGTCCAAGACCCTATCAGGGGCTCTGTGAAGTCAAAACTACTATCATAGGGATAAAATACTAAGATGTTCCTTGCCTTTTTTACTTTGATTCTCTCATGACTATACAGTGGAGTTTTCCAGAGGCTACATAATGGGTCATATCACAGCAGATTGAATGCAGAGATAGGTATGAGAGTCTGGCTCATCTTCTATTAAACCAAGCATTAAAGAGATTTGCAAAAATATACAGCAATGCCACTCATTTTCTCTTTTTGGTTTGGGGAAGATAGTTATTTTTCATAAAAATATGTCACTTATTTAATGGATTTGTTATTTTAAAATGAATTAACAATTTTAATTTTAGTTTTAATTTCTAATGTGGTAAATATCAATAGATGTAACTCATATATACAAAAACTTTGGGAATCCTTAATAATTTTTAAAGGAATCAGACACCAAAAAGGTTGAGAACCACTGCCCTAAAACATCCTCAGTACCTACCAAAGTAGTACTCAGTTCCCCAAATGGATAATTTTAGACACCTCAAATAATACAGAGCCTAAGCATTAAGTTTCTTTTTCGCACTGATACGAGACAAAGTTGTACAAAGTTGCATAGTGATAAAAATCCTCAATTTGGAAAAATCAGTTATACTTTTCATGATTCAACTTCAATTTAATAAGCATATATTGACTACCTAGGTGCTACACATTAGAAGTGTATACATTAGAAAAATAAAGGGAGGTTAAGAGACATAGTCTGACCTCAAGGAAATCTTAATCTTCTAAGGCAAATGTAGATAGCCATTTTCCTGGTATATGAATGTCTGATTTGACTTTTAAAATGAAAAATTATTTCAATTACACAGTCCACCAATTTTTTTTATTTAGCATAAAAATAATTTAACTTTTTTTGATAGCTCAGGGTCACCATTAGAAATAGAAGTTATTGTGCTATCCAGTAGATGAAGTATTAAATATAGTAAATGCACCTTTCTTCCCACCTAAGCTACTGAAAATGCCTTTAACTTAAGGAGCCACCGTCCTAGACTAGGCAGATATAGTCTATACCTGTGCTGTACTGCTACAGTGCAGGTAGATGTTTTATTTTTACTGATTTTATGCCAAGTGTACTGTATTAGGTGCTACTAGGTGTTGCTGACTGGTACCCAGGTTGAGTATCCCTTATCTGAAATTCCTGGAACAAAAGTGTTTCAGATTTTGGATTTTTTTTGAATTTCAGAATATTTACCAACTGAGCATCCCTAATCTGAAAATCTAAAATCTGAAATGTTCTAATGAACATGTCCTTGAGCATCATGCTGGCACTCTAAGTTTCAGATTTTGGAGCATTTTGGATTTCTGGATTAGGGACACTCAACCTGTACTAACTCTCAGTTTAGTTAGGAAGAGATGGCAGGGTCTTTTGCCCTTTCCTGACCATACCCAAGTCTCAGCCTCCAGGCCACCATATGTATCTCCCTTTGTTTGGGGGGGCTTCTTCCAAAACTTTTAGGAGAAAATGTTTATAACGAGTCAATCGTTAAAGAGCCATAACATCTCTACAACTAACTGCAATGCTGACTTAAGTTGGAGAAAACGCCTCCATCATCAAATGATACACAAAATTGTAGCTAATATACTGAACTATTTAAATTTTATCTCTCCTACCATCTCATGGACATCAATCCAGAAGAGACTTTAAAATGTAATTTAACTGGCCATTAAAGATGACCGGATTCTTTACTAATCCCTGTCAAAATGAAACCCATGTGTTACATATCCAAATTGCCTGCGACCCCGAACAATGTTTACTAAACTAGGGATTATCTCAAATTTTTAGTTTTATCAGCACAGTCACATTTCTCAAAATAACGTTGCCAATTTTACAGCTGAGAAAATAAAACTAAGAATTAAACTAAGTTGACAAAGGACACAACACCAGTAAGTAGCAGAACTGGGATTTAATCCACATTTTTTTGTACTTGAAGTCCAGTGCTCTTTCCAGTAGATCAGAGCTGCCTAATCCCACCAAATGTTTCCACTCTTAGATGGGCAGGGAGCTAAGGGGAAGTTCAAGTTCCCCAACAATAATTTCTGGCACTCTGTTTGATGTTTTACAAAGTTACATTTTAGTTCCTTTGATGTATTTATAATATTTCAAGGAAAAACATGTTCACCTTCAAC